AGGATGCAGGAGCGCGAGGCAGTCAGAGTTGGGAAGAAAGTAGAATCGAGTAACAGGCAGATTTGAGAGAAGAACGCAGAGTTGAGTTGAGAGTGGAGAGAAGTCAGAAGACAGAAGGCTGAATGTGAGTGGTCGAGAAGGATCGTGTGAGAAACTTACAATTAGTGTAATATCTTGGTTAACACTGGGTTTACGGACGCTATCTCTATACCTATTTCTAAGGACAACTGTCAAATTGACAGGTAGAAGAAACCACGTGCCTTCTTTTTTAACAATTAGTTTAATTTAAAAGCAATTACAGGTAGCCCTTCTACAACACGGCATTCTCTAATACGGTTTCACTATAACACGATTCATAAATTGCGGGAACCCTCCTACAACACGGTATTCTGTAACACGTGTAGGAAGAAGATATGGCGCTCTTTAGTTGAAATAAAGAACGTGCGCGAATCGTCAGAAAATGAAATTGGTGGCATATTAGAACTTGCTAAATCAATCGGAGGCGTGGGTTTTGTGGATATGGCTATTGAGGACGTTCGAGATTTATTAGTGGAAGAAGAAGTTGACGAAGCGAATTTGATGGAAATGGCATCTGAAGCTGTAAATCAAATCGATTCTGAGAGCACTAGCACTGATGAAGATTGCACAGTTAATAATTTAACACTAAAAAAATTACAAGCCATTTTTCTCGAATGCAGATCCTTTCTCTGAAAGAAGCCGAAAATTCAAAAGGGAGCTGCAAAACTGTTTAGCTCTATACCGAGAAATTTACAATGACCTGGTAAGAACCAGCGAGCAAAGTGAAATTACAGATTTTTTCAAGAGGGAAGAGGATGCAAGAACTTTAAACGAAGAAAAAAGTTCTGAAAGTGAAGATATCATTCCACCGAAAAAACGTTCTCGGTTGATTATACTGAGCAGTGACGATGAAGAAATTTATTAAATTAAAGTTACGTTAAATTAAAATAATATTTTTGTTTTTTTGTTTTATGCTTTATATATATTTATATTTTTAATAAAAATTAAGCTGTTTATGTAGAATTTAAAAAAAAATATTTTTAATAAGTTTTCGGAACGTAAGCCCCGTTTTTGTACTGGCTTTGGGTCTCATACAACACGGCATTTTCTAGGAACCTATTTACCGTCTTATAGGAGGATTACCTGTATATATTATATTAACAGTCTTAATATAAGTTAGCTAAATCTGTTACCATCGTAGAATTGGAGCAACCCTTCCGTCAAATTAACGAGTTCCGTAAATTTAGTGTTAAATAAAACCTGTTTTGTTACAAAAAGGGAGTTGTTTATTAGACGTGCAGATCTCTGTCTGCATAGGATTAATTTAGCCAAAAATCCTACATTTACAGATGTCGAAAATGTCGTCTTTGATGTCACAGGCAAATTCTTGCTTGACGAATTAACGAAATGTGACTGGACGTATTTCTCTCGCACTTTCGACCCCGGTTTTTCGAAAATGGAATGAGAAAACTTTATTCTACATTTTCGACTCAGTTTTATGCGAGGAATTACTTCTGTGTCGGTTATATCACGATTTTACCAACACCTTATATAAGGAGATAGTACTTTTATTACCCTATCTTCACTCAGTCTCTCTGTGGTCCAAATGTTATTTTTATATTACTCGTAACGATTAAAAAAACCAATAATTGTTTCGGCAATTATGAGAGTAATTTAAATAAAAATCTCGAAGAAATATATTTATTACTTATTTCGTATTGCATACATTTACATTGCAATCCCATAAAACCATATTTACCAAAATAGTAGGAAATTCAACAATGTACTTTATCGTAATTAATCTTTTTATTTTATTTTTCCTTATTTCTTTCTTTTTTTATTGCAATTTATGAGGTATTTAAAGCGCGAAAATTTTAATATTTCGAAAAAGAACATATGTGACTTAGGTCACTTTTATAATTACTATCGTAATTTGCAAATGGTAGAATATAAATCTTTACTGAAACTCTGTGTGTTCAAATATCTTTCCATGAAAATTAGACTTGGATCAGAATACACACTGACAGACGTCGCGATGCGTCACTTACTATCATAATCGATCGATTAATCATTCAACGTTCGAAACAGTTCCTATGCCGTGTCTATTCGCCCTCAAAATCGATTCATCCTTGAAAATTGTATTATTTTGAAACTGATAAACTAATATTATAAGACTAACATAACAAGTATACAAGCTGTAAAATAAATAAATGTCACGAATATACGTCCTACATCCACGCAACCTGTTTACGCCACAATTGGTGTAATTATTCGTGTAATGATTGAGGTGTTGTGTGAATTGTGTATGTAATGTAATGTATGGAACAAGAAAGAACAAAACGAGAGTGATTTGGCATAGTTGAAATTGAGTTTTAATAGTGAGAAGACGTGTGAGGATGTGATTGTGATAAATTAATTATATTTAAACTTAATATTTGTGTTTGATAATCTTTGTAATTAAATAAAGAATTGTTCCTATTGTTATTAAAATTTCATCCACAACTAACAATGAGTGAGAAAGTACTCAAATATCTAAAAAATTTTGGAAATTCCAGTAGCTATTTTTAGTTTTATTCCTTATCAGTAATAAAACCCAATCCTTCCATGATATTTAATACCAAGCAGAAACCTTCGTTATAGATAATTTTCCCTATTTAAAAGAGAGATAAATAAATCTCAATCTGGAGATTAAAAGGGGAGAAAAATGTTATATTAAGTTCACGAATAAACGCTCTATTGGAGAGCTATAAATAAATATTTTGTGCATGGAAGGAATGACAAATTTTTCATAACAATGTAGCGATCATCATTCACACCCTCGCCACTAGATGTACTCCGACTGTGAGGACTTCCTCGCAAGTCCTCGGAAAACCTCCAATTCCTATACATGTAGGGATATGCCTTGATTGGCAAATATACGGAGTAAAGGATGTTATTGATTCCAATATATTTTATTTACTAGCTAAGGAGACTTAAGAGTAAAGATACAAACTAAAAGATTGAACTAATTACGCAATCCACACTCGCACATCAACTCTTCGAACTATCACTGACTCGACTTCTTTCAAATCTCGTGTACAACATTCACCAACAGGACTGTTCCAGGACAGTCCTTGAACCCTCATTTAAGCCTTGCACTCTGTCTTCTTTCATACTCAAGCTTTCTTCTTTTATCACGAATTTTTCCATAGCAATGCTCTCGAGGTAGGTCACGTACCCTAAACATTCAGCCGCTGTTGCACCGCGTGGATGTAGATGAGCTCCACGCGGAGGGGGCAGCGTACGATATACTTGTGGTGCCCCTTTTTCTCAGTGTGCCGAATCCCTTACGAGACACTAAGCACTTAGGTGGTAATAAAGCGCAGATTGTGGTTGTAATTACGCTTTATTCTACGATTATGATGTGGGTGTGTGTGTGGTGTATCGTCTTCTCCCTTGTCGTTTTTCGTTTCGTTTTCCGTCTTCCGTTTACTGTCCTGCGTCTTCCAGTTCTAGTTCACGTCTGTCGTGTCTTGTCTGAGCTCCAAAACCGTCTTACGTCATCTGATGTGTTTTGTTTGATTTCTCACAACTGTCTGATGTTTCCTTTTATAATTTTTTGATCGTCAAGAAGGACGGCGAGGCGCGTCTTCCACGTATTATTGCCGTCGCAACAGGCGTTTTTCGCTTTTCACTTGCATTCCATGCAGTCATAAATATTTCGTTCATCCGATCCTTGCACGCAGTCACTCGCACTTCAGACGTCTCTCTAAATATTCAGTACAAACCCTAGGTTACTCTTTATTGTCCGTCGCCAGTTAGACAGGCCCAAGGATTTCTTTGCACTAACTCTCACTTACAATTCCTACATACATATAACTTCCCGGCCTTCCAACAGTATTCCGGTCTAAGGCAGGGCCTGCTAGGGTAGCCATACTGATGAGTCCACTAACAGGCCCGGGACGAAACGCATCTCTTCCTTTTCCTACCATCCCTTCTACCTACCCCGTCGCAACGAGGATACCTGCGACCTGACGACTTCAATAACCATGGGGGAGGACCCCCTACACATCCTATACCTTCGATGTTGCGTCGCCATTGAACCTTTTGATGTATTCGGACGGGTTGTAAATCCGTCTCGCGACCCCGCTGTGTTACTCGTCAAATTAATATTGGGTAACTGTTTCAGTTGCACGAGCAAAAAGCAGTCGTTTTTTCGACGATTCGAAGAGAAGTGCTGTCTTCGATGATTCGAAAGGAAGCGAGTTCCTCGATTATCCTGAGATCGGTCTTAGGAAAAATCGGGAGTTCGCCAAATATAATTGGCTGATTTGACCAAGGGCGTTCCCTTGGTCAGCGAATCGGTCACCTTGGAGGAAGGGAAGGTTCCTCCAAAAGGTAGACGACAGTGGAGGAAACCCTCTCCTCCTAGGTGAGGTTCGCGGGGTCCATCCGCGCACTGGTGACCCCATCGACCGTTTATGGCCCCTAGCGAGGGCCTGAGGCTTCCAACGTGTGCGGACCACGTGAAGCCCTCAGGCCTATTGTCAGCCAAGTCTTAAGAGCCGTCGCCTAATTTCGTTAAATTAGGGATTTCCAGGATTCTTGTGTTCCGCGACATGAGAAGTCAGAATAAAGGTAAAAGAAAATTCCGATGCCGAATTGTTTGACCCTAAGACCTGGTTGTTGGAAGACCGTAGGGGATCTTCCTTGTTCCGCGACGGAACATTCCATTTGCTGGAAATTAGCGTAAAATTCAGTATTTTCTCAAGGAAAAAGAGAAAAAGAGTATAAACGAATCCTTCTTTAATTGCATCGTATTTTATCTGTTACGACGACCAAATTTGCTAAAGAATTCGCTCAGCATGGGTCAAATAGGAGCACTGATCATATGGAGAGAGAGATTTTATCACGGTTAATCATTGCACGATCGAAACAGTTCCCATGATACATCCGTTTATCCTCAGACCCAACTCGTTGGACTAAATAGTATCAAGACTTACCATTCTCGCAACGTGCTCCACATCCGCCACATCAATGCCGCTATGTTCGTTCTGGTAACTCCATGTCAGCCTGTTCACAGTCTCCATCAAATCGCTCAATGAGATTTGATTGTCGCCGTCGAAGTCTGGAAATGAAGGCATTAACGGTGTCGTTGTTCCTAGAGGGTTATCTGACTGTGTTCCGTGTATCACCGAAGCAGTCGGGCAGTCTGCAATGCGTGTCACTATACAAGACACTCATGAGACGGAAGTTTGTTGAATTTATCTAAATCGAATTACCGGTTCGTTATCTAATGCAGTTTAACGCGACAAGATCCCCTCTGTCCACTTTCCGTCTAGCTTTACTCCATTCGGTCAATTTTATTTTATCGGACCACTGACTATAGTTAATTTTAAGAAAATTTTTTATGGTCTATGAGAGTTCATCGATAGGTTACTTTAATTTAATTTGTTTCTGGGTAGGATGTTGGAGAGATTAAGAATTTGGACGATTATAGCACTTGTTTAGGGAGGAGTAAGAAATGTCTGATTAATATTGGTCCTAAAATTTATTCTTTTAGTATTGTTGTACAAAGACAGACGAAAGATGTTGTGGTGGATGTCTTACTATGTTCTATGTTCTCAGTATGCTCTACCAATTGAGATACTGAGCACCTTGAGTGTGCACCATTCGTGTTTATATATCTAGGAATATTGGGTAGGCAAGCAGAATAACGGTGGTAAATAATGTAGGATTAATGCTAGATTAATCCTATGCTGTCAGACATCTGCGCGTCTAATAAATAAAGACTCCTTTATAATTAAAAAAACAAATTCATTTAAACTAAAATATTAGACTAGGTTTCTCTCAACTCTTAACTCTCAAATACACGATTCTGTACTCACTACGTCTCGACTACACGCATTCTGTCTCGCCCTTGCACCCTTATTTAAAGTCTAACACTCTCTCTTTTCATCACAAGCTCTCTTCGTTGATCACTTATTTTCCTCGCAACCTCGCATTTGGTGGACCAAGTACTTCAGGTATTCGGACACATTCCAAGACTTTCGTTCATTGCTTGGACTCCACCCGGTCATAAATATCTCACGCATACAATTCTTGTACGTGGTCAACCGTCCGTCCGCACGCACTTCAGATGTTGCCCTAAATGCCTAAGCCGGACCCGATACTACTGTTTCCTCTGCTAGAGTCATTTCCAGCTCACAATACCATAATATTAAATATGATTTATTATGAACTAATTCTAAGCTTACGACTCTCACACTGACTGTCTCTCAAAGAACAGTTTCGTCCCTCGTCCTTGCACCCTTATTTAACAGGTTGTGTCTAGTTTTGCTTGCCGTTCCGTTCAGGCTTAGACTCGGCTGCCAAGTAGGCTACTGGCCTTCGGTATTGCCGTCGCAGCAAGTATTATATCGAGATTTTGCTTGAGAATTTTGGTAACATGTTGAATACAGGTAGAAAATTTGGTTTGTCTTTACATTTATGTTCTATAACGACATGAAATTATTTTACAGAGATTTTATTTTAAAAATTTCCGAAAATACGTAGCTACTTTTGATAAAATAAATGCTGATTTTTATTTAGGTACAAACATAATGGTAGAAAAATAAAGGTAGAAACATAATAAACAGGCGTCCTTGAGAGATATGTACAAGCGGGTATCAGGTGATTCCCCATAAGAAATGTGAAAAAAATATGGAATAACTTTTCTTTGTATGGAGCTGAAAAATTCAAAATTCAAAATTTGAAAATTCGTATTGTACACTCTTTGCATTTATACGAGCACAACTCTGTATGCAATGAGAGTACCAGTGTTAACAATTCTGTAATCGAAATAATAAAATATCCTTGGTAAAATATTCTTTTTTTTTTTTTTAGTACATCGTGGACGTTGTTTATAAATATGATAGATGACACATCATTCTCGATGAATTATATCTTTTATTAGTCACAAATGCATATGCATAAAGCGAATTTCCAAATTACACTTTCTCAAAAAATAAACTCCAAACGAAAAAAGATTATTCTATATTTTTTTCATACCTTTCTATGAGAAACCACCTAGTACTCGTTTGTACATTTCCTTCAGGGACACTCTGTATAGTTATTTGTCCTCTACGTATCACTAGAATTATTATCATTTGTGCATAGAGTATTTAGCTACTTATTGCAGGTCGGTAGCTCTAGTGTCAAGAACCCCTGGTCTATTGTACGTATAAGTACAATACATATACAGTACGTGACAAAATTATAGCACATCCTACAGTTTTCAGTGTTTCTTGAAACTAATGCAATGTATGCATACGTTAAATATGTACTCGTATAATATACTCGTACCTTAATAATACAGAAGAATATTAACTACAGTTTATATATCTTTCTTTAAATTTTACTCCTTTACGCGAAAAAATGGCTGAAACAAAATGACAACACAAGAATCAAAAAATAGAAGAAAGAGATTTTGTTTCTTGAAAATGGAAAAGCTTCTATACATATTTTTATACGCTAAATTCGAATCTGATAGCAAAGACTTCTTTCCATTTCAGGTTTATGAAATAAATAAATAATACCGATTTTTGCTATTTTTACGAAAATATTCCTTTAAATTGCGAAGTATCGTTTCATCGATATAATTATTCCTACAGGAAAATATCATATGCCTGACCACGTATCCCAGGTAAAACGCAATGGGACATCAACGTTCGACCACCATATAAGCCAAGTGCCATGGCATATGGTGTAATAATTCGTCTCGCTTTCGCAAGAACTGTTTGTAACTTCTACTCTTACTCCTAAAAACCAACTTCCACTATTAGTATTAATCAATAGAAAATACTTAAGCGTTAACTCTACCAAGAGTTCTTCTCTTAAATTCTAAACTTTGTAACATTCTCGCCAGAAACACAATGCAGAGAAGACTGTATCGAGTCAACTCTTGTAGAGTACACTTTGAAACTAATCAACTCTCGTAGAGCACACATAGGAACAAGTGAACACACGAACACTACACACGCTGCCTCAACATCAAGACGTTGTCTATTATTCACATCACTTAAAAATACAGTTCTCAAAAATGCACACTTCGAGAATTACACAATTTCTCTTTGGATTCGTTCATCACTAACCGTCACCATACAAGATCGACCTAGTAACGTAATGTATATGTGGGATGACGAGCGGTGAAGGACAAAGTGTTAAGAACAAAGTATTAACCCTTCGCACTCGACGACTTTTTCGTTACAGAAAAATAGTAATTCGAAGACTTTCTGTCACAGAATCGACGATATTTTTAAAACGGTAAATAAGAAATCAATTAAGACATAGAATTATTTTTCTTCGACATTCCACACATCGTTAGGTAATTTTAAATTTCATATATTAATTAACGTCGATCTTTAGAATCTGAGTAAACGGTGACTGAGAGTCACCTCTCGAGTGCAAAGGGTTAAAAATAGTAGCGGGGCGAATGGGTATGCGGTCTTACTTCTAAGGGAGTGCATGGGAACGTTTGGGCGGGTTTTTGAAAAGCGAGGGATAGCTAAGGGCGGCATTGGGTCCGACTTGAGAGTTCGGGGCGAAAGAACAAATGATAGCGCGAAATCCTTTTGTCGGGATGTCTGTGACTATGTCGAATGATTGAGAAGGAAAATCTGTGTACGAAGAGAGAGAGTTTTGGCTTTAAGTAAGGATGCAAGGGCTCGAGGAAGTCAGAGAGAAGAAGGTAGAGCTGAGAAGTAGGCAGAGTTGAGTCGAGAGTAGGCAGAGTAGAGAGAAGCCAGAAGGCAGAAGACTGAATGTGTGTGGTGAAGAAGGATCGTGTGAGAAACTTAGTGTAATATTTTTGTTAACACCCAAATATGAGTAACGCTCTTCTTGTTCAAGTTAAATAGGATTTTCAGCTGGATTTTTAAAAGGAATTTAATGGAATAAGCACTGAATTATAAATGTAGGATATACAACATAAAAATATGAAAAATATACACGTTATACTATACTTTTTATTAATTTATATTTAGGATAAAATATTACGTTATACTATGTCGCGTGGTATTCGTTAAAACGGTCTAAACACATTTCAGGTGATTTTGGACAATTGGAACAATAGGTCGTAGTTTTTTTACATTTTTCGTAATTGTCTGCCAATATGTTTATGACCGGTAAAACTTTACCAAGTCTGCTACTCTGTTCTATCGTTTCGTTATTTGCAAAATGCAAGTTTGCTGATAGTAATTCAAAACGATTACAGGAAATGGAAAATTATAAATTGGGTCCGTTGACCAACATCTAACGAGCGGTGTCTGTACTAGATGCATCCAAATTATCAGTTCGATAACGTTCTAGCGCTCCGACAGTAGGATTTGGGCCTCGCGAGAAACTCAATCGAATGGCGTTGGCCGACGAACGTGTTAAATAAAACCTGTTTTGTTATAAAAAGAGAGTTGTTGTTTATTAGACGCGCAGGACTCTATCTGCACAGTATTGATTTAACCAAAAATCCTACAAATATTTTAAAGACAGTAATTTTTTTCCAATATCGTCATTAATTGCTTTAAATAATATCAAACTTCCTGTTTAAAATCAAATTTGCTTTATAATCGGACGATTTTTCTTTACCGAGATATACCGCTTCGAAGTTATTAGAGGAACAGGGAAGATCACAGACTGTGCTACCATTTTGTCGCGTACTGTACATATAGGTTAACGTGTTCACTCATCTCGCGTGTTCCTCAACTCTCAACTGTATCGTTGTTACCATTACTTTTTGTTTTTTCTTTACTTTTGTTCGACTCTGCTGTTTAATTCCTCCTTTGCCTTTCCCTTCTACCTTCTTTCCTACTATAGTTCGACTGGCTTTGCCTCTCTTCTTGTTTGCCCCCGTTCGCATTCCTCTCCCACAGCTGCGTGTGTAGCCACCCTCTACTCTCTCTCCCCCTATTGTTTCTCTGCTTTCACAGGCATTGATGCGACGTCGTGTGTACCGTGAAATTAAACGATCCCGATTAACGAAATCGAGCGAACCCCCGGCGCGCTTGTAATATTGGATAGGCTTTTGCAATTGGAGAGGGCTGCGAACTGTTTTTCTTTACCTTTTGCTTAAATTCGTGTTCATTCGTTGCTGTACAAAAATTAATTTTTATTTAAATGCTTATAATTCGAATGGAGATATATGTTATGATTCAAATTTGTGAGTACGTACATGTATTTAAATTTATTTTTCTTTTAATTATTTTTAGAAATTGATTTGATTTATTTGTTTATGTATAAGTGGCTTTTATGTAACGCAGAATTTATAAAATGGAGTTTAGATATGGAGTAAAGCTCGATTAAATGTAACTGGAATGTGCTCGAATGGACCATTCCAATTCTTTCACCATTAAGTGCCTTGATTTTATAAGGACAGTGTAAGTCCTTCGGGTCATAGATTTAATTGAAACTTCGCAGTTTTTAGATTCAGTCATCCACTTCAAGAAAATATATTATTATAAGGGCAATTACTCGATAATTTTACGACGTGGTTCATATATCGAGGATACCACAATTAGATTGTTTTATTATTCATCATCGCTGTCAAATATTTACAGTCTAACCCTCTTTTTTCTAATTGGCCGAAAATCCTTCTCACTTTGCAAATTTTCTTCTCGGTTTTCAAATGTACTTTTATTTTATAGTTCTTGCTATACCTCTTTATATAGAGCTAAGCAATTTTAAGATTCTATTTTAAATTTTGCACTGCCCATCGTTAAAGGATCATAAAAATTTAATAAGTGCTGTCATAGATAAATTTTTCAGGCCATTTGAATTTTTGGAATGCTCTTGTACGAAAACGCGTATATGGAGACCGTGTTGTAGGAGAGTGTCGCAATTTTCGCACCGCGTTATATAGAAATCGTGTTACAAAAGCACCGCATCATAGAAAACGTGACTGCATATTATTCCGACTATCATTGTCTAATTCCGAAAATACTACTGATGACCACGAATGTTAAATATTCGGTTGAATGTTAAATATGTAATGTACCGTCAGTGGAACACGTCGTTGCAAATATGTTAATCTCCAATGGTTCCAAGAAACTTTTGAAACGTAAGGTTGAAACGTAAAATGAAGATGACAGATAAATAAAACTTGCTTCGTCGCGAATAATACCTTGACTGTTGCTTTGCCCTCATTTTGCAAATTTTTTTCTCCGTTTACAAATGTACTTTTATTTTATAATTCTTCCAAAACCTCTTTATATGGAGCCAAGCAATTTTGAAATTCTCTTTTGAACTTTGCACTGCGCATCGGTGAAGGATCGCAAAAATTTAACACGTCGAATAAGTGCTGCATTGTTACAGGTGAGCTATCGCAATTTTCGCTCTGCGTTATATGGAAATCGCGTTATAAAAATAGCACGTTATAGGAGATTTGACTGTATACGTATGAAAATAAATGAAAGCTGAATGTAATAAGCTTCAATCGAATCAAATAAAATAACTTTAAGCCTCGTGTCAATAACCAAATCGTTTAGGTTGGTTTATAGTCAGAGTACCCTACTGCTCCTATGATGGATATTATTGTGTTCCTGTTACAATCACGTTTAGAATGTAAAGCCACGTAAAGATTTATAGAATATATAAACAATGCATGCTATAAAAATTATCATTGTATAAAGTATTATTTTAACTTATTTTATCATTATATAAAATCTTACTTTCATTAACCACTTGCGCTAGAAAGACGTGCCACGCACGTCAAGATGCTTTTGTTTCAAAATCGCCAGCGACGTGTACACCACGTCGATAGGCGTTTATCGCAGAAATAAAAATGACGTGTGCTGCACGTCGACTAACAATCAGATCGTTCATTTCTCAAGCTACAGTTCCAGAGTGCACGGCGTTGCATAGTGTCATCGATATCTTGGAAATATTTCAGAATCGATACAGTACCTTGCGACGCCAATGTGACACCTTACGCGTGTTATACTGTAGCGTACGGCACCGCAACCATGAGTTTATTGGTAGCGCAAATGGTTAACCGTCTGCAATATTTCATACAATTGTTTTGTTGTCCAATTTTAGTCTTTCGTCGATAACAAAATTCTAAATATATAACAGATATCGATAGAAAATGTATCAAATAACGCCAATTTGGTCGAATATTAAAATTTTTTGGCAATATTTTAATGAGAATACGAAGAAAAGTATTTAAGTACTCGGTTATTGAAATAAAGGATAAATAATTTTAAATAATTTGTACATTTAACAATAGAAAATTTTTAATTTGAGAGTCAAGAAGAATTTATTTCAGAAGTATTCGGTAATATTATGTCATATGTAAATATGTAAATATTAAATCGACAAATTGACATCTCATTAGAAAAGAAAGAATTTAATTTCAGATCATAAGTAGTGTCTTACCATAGATGTGAAATGCCCAACTAGCACGAACGTTATCAGGACAATTTTCGGAGAAGACTGAATATAAGTCGAGAAGGTCCTCCAGGCTCATGCGATTATCTTTCCTCGAAGAAAATACTCGGTATATCGAATCACGAAATGGATTACACTGAAATAAATTAATATTTTTTATTACCGTTTGTACGTAACATAATGTAATAGACAATTTTTATAAAATTTATTAAAATTTATACACAGTGTGTTCCAGCAACGGTAGTACAACCGAGAGGAGGGAATCTATATGAAGAAAGAAGGCTCAATGGCTTGCAATAAGCCATTCTTTATTTTCGATTTGTTTTGTCATGCAGAATCACCCAGTTCTCGGTTGTACCATCAATACTGATGTATCGTCTATCCATCTAAGTAATAGTTAAGTGCACGCATGCTCGGTGCATATACAATATCGATTTTCCCAATAACGAGGCTGCGAAAGAAAAAATTTTATTTTTTATTTTTGATTTGTTTTCTCATTTAAAATCGCCTCCTTTCAGGTTGTACTACCGTTGCTGGGACACCTTGTATATCATAAGACGTATTACATAATACATCTCAGAGAAGAGGATTGTAAATGTTACAAACAGAATGCATAATGATAAGTAAAGATGTTACAACTGTATATAAAATAACATTCATCATCGAAGTATATTCTATCTTTGGTTGTCATATATGTGCCCATAATTATGAAAGTAGTCTAAGTCAAAATTTAAAAAAAATGAGTGTTCCGTTGTGGAACAAAGAAGACCCGATACGGTCTTCCAACAGCAAGGTCTTAGGGTCAAACAATTCGGCAACGGAATTTCCCGCTCCATGCCTTCAGTATGTTTGATTGCTTTACTTTTTTCTTTGACTTCTCGTGTCGCGGAACACGAGAATCTTGGAAATCCCTAATTTAACGAAATTAGGCGACGGCTCTTAAGACTTGGCTGACAATAGGCCCGAGGGCTCCACGTGGTCCGCACACGTTGGAAGCCTCAGGCCCTCGCTAGGGGTAACAAACGACCGATGGGGTCACCAGCGCGCGGGTGGGCCCCAGGTACCCCACCTTGGAGGAGAGGGTTTCCTCCACTATCGTTGCTTTTTGGGGAACCTTCCCTTTCTCCAAGGTCACCGATTTGCGAACCAAGGGAACGCCCTTGGTCAAAAACAGCCAATCATATTTGGCGAGCTCCCGATTTTTCCTAAGGCCGATCTTAGGAAGATCGAGGAGCTCAGTTCCGTACGAGATCCGAGAGACACGGGTTCTCTCAAAGACACTTCCTCTCGAAACATCGAACACACCGGTTCTTTCTAAACTTCTTCCTTTCGACACGTCAGAGACGACGGTTCTCTTCTAACACGAGACGATTTTCGTATCTCCTCGTTAAGTCGACGAGATACCGTGTCGCGTCGAACCGTCCATCCACATTGGGATATCTTCGCGCCTTACAACCGCGAAGACGAATTATTTTGGGCGGAAACCACGCGACCAGGAAGATCAAGGGAACGACGCGATACCCCCTTGATACCTCCAACAATGAGTTTATCCGTTATCTCACACCACATTATTTTAAACTAAATTAATTCAATGTAATTGTCACGATATTGTCAAAAATGAACCATTAGATAGTGGTTATTTCAACATTATATGGAATTCAGTTAGTACTAATTATGAAAGTGGTCTAAGTAAAAAATTTAAAAACATTACGTTTATCAGTTATTACAAATCAGCCGACGACGATAATGATAACGCATATAATGGCAACACATTCTTTGACGTATAATGGTATAATAATATATGTATAATGGTAACACATTCTTTGAACGTTAAACGCAAATTCACTGTTGTGAATTTGAGAAAAACGGACCGTTACATTGTGTTAGCTATTTTGCCATTATGTGGAATTCATTTAGTTTTATTTTTAAAGGGCATTAATACAGTTGGGTTCTTCCGAAGTAATTATCGCGGAAAAATAATTAATATATTTTACCACTATGTCAACAGATAACGGTTCAGGTAAGTCAATGACGACGTACTTATTATGTGAATATGTTAATTATTCGGACATACGAAAATATTAAATTAATTCCATTATACACGACCACTAGACCAGTAACGGAAGAAAAACATAAAGGTATTATGTGTTTACTACCCTACATCCCTCCAGTTTTTCAGGAACATTTTAAGAATCTCAACACTCATAATGATAAATTCTAAAATGATAAAAATGGATTACTTTTAAAAAATAATTAATAAATGTTCGTGAATTATTTCATTAAAATTATTATTTCAAATAAAGTCGTAGTTTTTTATTGCTTTAAGTCATTTATAGGTCATTCAGTTAATTTTGAAAATGGTCTAAGTCAATTCAAACTTTGAAAACAACATTTTCGTATGAGATTCATAAAATTTCACATTCACAATAAATTTTCATTAATCAAGACTAATAAAATTCTGAATTAAAATGTTGCATAATATAAAAATATTTTTTAATTTATTCAAATATAATCCATTAAATATCTGGAAACAAAAAATATATGACTTAGACCACTTTCATGATTATGGGCACATATGTGAGAATATTTGTTACAGTATTTTTATGAACCTAATTATATCATATTTATAAATATTTATAAAAAAAAATACAATATTATAATATTACAAAGCAATTTCGTTCAATCTATTTTTCTATCTATTGTATGTATCTGCAAGTAAATGTTCTTCTTTCATACAACAAACACGAAAGGACTACACCTATGCAAAACCTAATGCAAAACTGTTTTAAATAGTGCACAACACCCAAGAAAAATTGTCTCAGTCATCGATGAAACCCAACTTACAATTAGACTGTATAGTGTATCCAAGTAACGTTAGTACAACCGGGAAGGGATAATTCTACATGCAGAAATGAATCAAAAAGAAAAAAGAATAAAATTTTTCATTCGAAGCTCCGTTTTCGTGAAAATCGAGTTTGAATATGCACCGAATACTGCCCCTGTATATCTAAACAACTGTTACCACAGTCGTATATAACATGAACTGTTGATGTGACTATAAACACACACACACAAAATAAAAATAAATGACATCAACTATCTTTCGTAGTCCCAATTGATTATATTCACTCCTCCGTCTTATCAAACTTTCTCACGTTGCGGAACTTAGAACCACTAATGTTATACCTGCCAGATATCGAGGGATTAGCCTAAGCTGATGGGGATCTCAATGTTAGCGAGACTTTGTGAGGTCAACACATGTATGAAACTCATTCAGAACTTCCTCAAATTTTCCCCCTTAAATATCCTTCTTTCTTTCTTTTCATCTTATTTTAGAGTCAGTTGCAATCAATTTCGATGAAAATTTTAAATAAATATGATGTTATGACATTTTGACTTTTGAAACAACTAGGTGGCTGTAGTATAGTTTGTCGAGTATATATATACATATGTAGGATCGGATTTTGGGTGAACTGACAAGATAGTATTATTGGCTTCTTAGTAGAATAAAATAAGCTTATAAATAGAATGACGGCTATGAAGCAAGAGAGATTCGCTATGGGACGCTCTTGTAACGACAGCCCACGATAAGTAAGAAAAGATAAGTAAGGAAAACTCGAAACTCCAACATGAATCACCGGATGACTACAATGTGGTAATGGTTACATAGATTTTTAAATATATATGTATTGGAATGAGTGGAACAAGTATGCATGGGATGGAAGTATCTAATGAATTTAGGTTATTATGATAAATGAGTATGCGTGTAATGATTGAGGTGTTGTGTGAATTGTGTATGTAACGTAATGTATGAAAGAAGAAAGAAAAAAGAGAGTGATTTGGCATACGTCAGTTGCAATTGAATATTAATAGTGAGAAAATATGTGAGCATGTGATAGTGATAAAATAATTATATTTCAACCCAATATTTGTGTTTGATAATCTTTGTAATTAAATAAATAATTCTTCTTATTGTTATTAAATTTCATCCACCACTAACATACAGTTCCAAATTCCAAGACGTAACCCTGTGACGACAGCCAACTCGAATCACCACCCGATGACCAAACCACCAAACTCCACGATACAACCCCTTCCAAACCACCTAGCATACGATAGCAAGAATGTATATATATCCTAAAACCTAAATAAAGGCAGTTCTTCTCAAATTCTAAATACGTGTCACTTCTCTTGCGGTATACCTATGTACTCTACGGATAGTATCTCGTATAGAGACATAGTTATTCTTATTTTTTGCCGTTGCGAACTAGTCCCGTGATACTCTTCTGATCTTTCTGAGTTGAACTTCTTGGACCCTGACTTGGACTTCTTACACACTTTCTGACTGACACACTGGCACACTCTACCTCACCTGCGCCCTTGCACCCTTATTTAACCGTTTGAGTCCCAAGCAGCGTGATCACGCTGTTCAGATTTCATGTCGGGAAAACCAATGAATGAAAACATTTCAAGCGTTCTCGATAGCTGACGGTGCGTCACCGACTGTTAAAGTCGAAGCGCTATCGCGCCGCTTGGGACGCCTTGACACAAAATAGAAGAAGCGCTATCGCGCTGCTTGGGCCTTCTAATAGTCACTTAGAAAAAGCGCGGTCGCGTTTGGGAAAATTCGACAGTGTTTTTTCATAACCCTCTGGGACTCAAACGGTTAAAATGTAAACTATTATTTGGCACAGTTTAAAGCTAGTCTAATGTTACAACTCTAACAACGCTAATACTAAACACTCGACCTACTCTGACTCTGACACTGACTCTGGCGCTCTGATCATAAATTCTTCACACACTCTACATTCTGCACTCTGGAACTCTAAAAATATGCTACAATAGTCAATCAATAATTAGTCATTGAACATTTGGAAGTTTTACATCAGGTTCGCGAGTAAGATCATTTGTCATCGTGTATTGAGGGCTAAAATTCTCATTCTGTCCTTTTTCACACTCAGACTTTCCTTCCCAATCATACCTTTTTCCTTGTAACCTCAGTGGATCAGGTACTTCAAACACATGCCGTATTTGTAAAATAACTTCCATTCCTCTATGGCACTTGGCTGTCATATAAATCCACTCGATCTTCTCGCACACGGTCACCTTTGTTCTAAGTTCAAATACTCCCGACATTCTTTCAAGGCCATTGTCATTACCAATCCTACATATATATATTTATAATTATCTTGTATATAGGATGAGTACAGATACATGTAGCATTAAGAGACAACCTTGGTTATAAGCATATCTGTTTACCAGATTCAAGAGCGTATACCGTTAAATGATCACAAAAGACTTAGGTCATTCTCAAGGTCTATCTATTTTGAACAAAGAGACACTTATATTAAATGTATAAATACGTTAGATAAATATGACATCGATTAAAAAGTGTGGTTAAGTGGTGATTATGGTTCATATACTTGAAAGATAGCCGATTTTAAATTATTTTAGCAAACGAGAGTACTTCGTTTAATGATTCTTCACTATGATGAGCATTGTCGGAATATTTGTTATTTAGTGAACGGTTTGGTATAATAATAATTCACTAACAATGGGTTGAAAATTCGATTCGCTAACTTTTGACCTATAATTATTCGTGGAAAAACTTGAATTGCCTAGTTTAGATTAAAGACACTTATCCTATAATAGAAGTTCTATTAACCTTAGATATATTTATTAATTTCAAGGTGATAAATTGAAACAATGAATCAGTGAAAACACACGGAAAAAGAATCAACGCAGAAGTAGGTTGAATGAAGCAGAAGATTACTATTGACGTCTATAAATAGTGTTTATTGATTTTATCGTTATGAATTACTTCTTTATCTAGCTAAAAGGCAAAAATAAAAATTTTCCTGTTTTGTGTGATTCATATCAAAAGATGAAAGAAGATGAGTCAGACTACTATGAAAATATTTGTAAGAAATATCAAACGTAGATTAGTATGTGTACAGTATTCGTATGATTAGTACATGTAGTAGTATATCTATAAGAATCAGTTTGTTTTCTTAATACTTAAGCAGTCAATTCAATCAAAATGACTGATTCCAGATTTTTAGCTTTCGCAATTAGTGCAATCGTGCAAATTAATTGCATATACTAATATATTTACTACATCATCGTTAAAAATTTATTATTAAAGATGACATTACAAACAATTTAAAATATTTGACTATTCATATTTGTTAGTTTTATTTACTTTTTAATTATTTATGTCATGTTTTGGTAGATCAATGTAATTACAGTTAGTATAAATAAGAAAATAATTATCTTACTCGAATTTGTGGTAGTATTGCATCAATTTCTGCAATAGTGAAGCGATGTTGAGGATTCACGCGAAGTAGTCCTGGCTTTATATCGTCAAGCAGCTTGATAATGCTGAAACAAATGTATTTTGATTTATAAACGTCAACTTTCGACAACGAAATAATCGAAGCTTTAATTTAAATACTTATGTCTTCAGTTTTCATTTTTTGCGCTTTTATTCCTGTTTTTAAATTATTTTATGACATTTACTACAATATTTTGATAAATATTATCATATTCATTCAATCAAAATTACAATAAAAAAATTCAAGGTTTCGTTAAATATAATTTAACATTTGTGAATTAATCGTTAATATTTTATTGATAATATTAACTAACATAATTTTATCAAACAGAGTATAATATACAGTCTTATATATTATTATATATAATTAAATTTTATACGTAATCATTATCCACAAAATCATTAACCACCAAAAAATTACAAGATTCTGCTGCAATTATACTTTCACAAATTTTTATTCACAGCACAAAATTTATTTTCATTAATACTGCACTTTCAATTATAATACTTAAAATTCTCTGTCACAGTACTAATACTAAAACTCAAGTACTTCACTATACAATCCGATGAATATTCTTTCTCATTACTCACTACCGTATTTCCTTCTTCCTCAAGTATGTTAATTCGCAATAATTGGTAATCGTCTCTTCGTCGAGAATGCAGTCAGTCGACATGAAATTCCCCATGGTAATGCGAGAGTACCGATGAGTTCTAACAAAACAATGCACTGTCAATCACGCGAGTACTGTTCGCTTATCCATATACTGATACCGCGTTATCTCTTTCAGAGGGATTCTTTAGAAACATCAGAGACAGCATTCGCAATCAAATTTCAAATACAGATAACAGCGTATAATATCATACTCGATCCATTAATACGAATACGATTTAAACGATTCACTGTCAATAAAATCTTAGATATAGGTTGATACACAGAGAGTGAGCTATTCAACTTAACAATCATAATTACTTTTCTCATTAACACTAGAAACACTGGTTTTTAACACTAGAACTACCATGGAGGTCAGTGTTCCGTCCCGGAGAGCGAGTTTATAACATAATTTTATTCTAGGGCTTGCACTTTCGCCAGACCTAACGGTTTATTTCATATTTTATAATGCGACTGCAATTCCGGAGGTTCGATGTGCCTCGACGCCGTTCTAGCGGATTAAGTTTATAAAGGTAAAGCAAAATTAGGAATTTTACTAGTACCAGACGCGACAGATGGGACCCACTTGTGACAGACCCAACAAGCGACGGACGGACGGCACTTATAAATCACGTCATTGACCATCAGAAATCGGCTCCTTGACAGTTTCCTACTCCTTAGCCAAAGGTCCTTATGTCACACCCTCTGTCCAATTAAAACTCTTTACCTTTCCACCACCAACATCTATTTTACCCAATCAGAACTAAACTAGAGAAAACACCGGACCGAACACGACGAGACAGGACATAGAGCAAAATCGAGAAGTCAGTTCGTCTTCGGCACCGATCCTT